CCATGACAGGATCAAGAGGAGCAGAAAACTGCTGTGAAAGTATTGAAGGCACAAGCAGAGTCTGAAAGGGAGGTAATACAGAGCTTTTTAAAGCAATAAATGTCAATGCTCAGGGCTCAGTCTATGGGGGCGGGGTGGGGGGGTGCGTATACTGTTCATCTAGAGGACAAGAGTATGGTTCCCAGACACTGGACAGCTCACAACTGCCTGTAACTCCAGTCAGGCATGGCTATACCACCTCAGAATCCCAAGTCTGCGGTAGGACAGAGATAAGAGAATTGTTTGGACTTGGACTGACAGCCTAAATGAAAAAATCAAGTTCTAGGTTCTGAGAGACCCTGTTTACAGGAAGAAGATAAAGAATGACAGTCCTCCTCTTCCTCTGCACACACGCCAACACACACATACAACAGTACATTGTGACAGTCTCTGAGAAAGGCTGCATGGGTTTGATCTTGGATTCCTTGTTATCAGAGTAACTCTGAACAAGTCATTTAACCTCTTTGGAATCAGTTTCTTTGTATGAAAAATGACAGAAATAGTAGTATTGAATCTGCCTCACTAGGTTATTGGAAGAATGAAGTGAAATAATACACTAAGATAATAGTGCCTTAGAGATCAACCACATTCTTAGTTCAACATTAATTCAATCTACCTATGTTACTTCTGTTATCTCAGCCATGTGCAACGGCGTTCTCCATTGGGCCTTGTAAAGTAAAAGGGAATATGCATCAGGCTCCTCTCCTCAGAGATCCCGTAAGCACAGGTGGCCAATAGGGAAAAGTGGCTGACACCTTTCTCATAGACTTCGGAGCCTCCACTGCCTGTTTTAAGATGCCAAAACTGACCTGTTAGGGGTGAGGAAGTCTTGCTTGGGTGCCTGGGACTGAGCTCTAGTTTTTACATTTCTTTTCCTTGAATAAGTTATTAAGGGGTTAAACTATAGTAAACATTGTCTATTTCACCTTCATCAGACTCTCCTATGTAGAAAGGATTTCTGTGCTCAATACAGTATCCCTAGAAAATAGGTGTGGTGATATTTTTATGATCCAACAAATAAAGCTTGCATGAAGATCAGAGTGCAAAGCTAGCCACACTAGTTAGCCATAGAGGTTAGGCAGTGGTGGTGTACACCTTTAATCCCAGCACTCGGTAAACAGAGGCAGACAGATCTCTGTTTAGTTCAAGGCCACCCTGAGCTACATGAAATTGATTCAGTCTAATGGAGAAACAGAGCTCACACAAAGGTAATCCCAACACTTCAATGACTTGTCTTTAATCCTTTCACTAAGGAGGTGGAGACAGAGGAATATAAGGCGGGAGGAGACACAAACTCAGGACAGTCTGAGGCAGGCAGTCTGAGGAGCAGTGCAGTCTAGGCAGTCGCTCTTGGGATGCATTCAGTCTGAGGATTCCTAGAGACAGGATTGCCCCTTTGGTCTGAGGAGTCAGTAGAGGTAAGAACTAGTGGCTAGCTATTTTGCTTCTCTGATCCTTCAGCTTTTGCCCCCTAATAGCTGACTCCTAGTTTTTATTATTAACTACAATTAGAATTCATGCTACAAATAGTTAAGATTGTATTTTGATATCACAAAGACTGTTTTTACAGAGCTGAGTATCAAATCCAGAGCTTTCTACATGCTAAGCAAGCTATCTGCCTTGAGCTATATCTCAAAATACAAAGATATTTCCTTCTTCATATTCATATTTTTGTTGGGAGTACTATTGACAAAAAAGATGTTATTTATATATGACCCCAAGATTTTGCATAATGTCCAGTCTCCCTTGAGCAGAGAAAGACTCTTACCTGCTTCCTTTCCTTCAGCTTGTCCACAGAACAAGTGACCTCTTCTGAAAGTTCAATAATTTGGCAATAAAAAATTCCTAACAACTATTCAAAATAACATTTTTACTTTATATTTAATAATTCACTTCTCCCTCTTCACTGTCTTCAGGTACCAGTGATTAAACTCAGGGCCTGACATGTTAGACAAGTGCTCTATGAAGGTTTTACTTTTTATTTTGAGACAACATCTCTCTAAGACCCACACTGGTCTTGAACTCATTCTGCAATCCAATCTGTCCTCAAATCTAAGATTCTCCTGCCTCGGCTTCCTGAAAATGTACATTAACATAAGCCTGAACCACCAAGTGCAGCTTAATAATTAATTCACTTTCAGTACTTTATTACAAACATCTATCACAAACACAACCTGGGAAATTAGCACAAAGAATTAACAATGTGGTGACCACATTTAATCCCAGCACCTGAAAAGCATTGGCAAAAAGACCAATCCAAGGTCCCACTGGTCTGCAAAGACAGCTCAAAAAGCCTGGGTTACATGACGCTCTGTCAAACAATAAAAGTTTTAATTTCATACCCTGATTTTATATCAGAGAATGCAGAAAAGAAACTTTTTGAACACTAATTTAAATTGGGAAGGTAGGCATGGTACCAAGTGCCTAGAGTTCCACCTAACACACTGCAGTAGGATCACAAGTCCAAGAAGAACTTAAGAGCACTCTGGACGACACAGGGAGATCCTGTCTCAGGAAACAACAACAGGAAAAGGATTCAGAGAAACAGACAAGCAGAGCTGGTTTCAAATGCAAACCACTCAGGGGCAATCAATCTCGGTGATTTAAAGAAAATCCATTGTAGAAATTCTGCAGGTTTGCTGGCAGTGGTGGCACACACTTTTAATCCCAGCACTAGGGAGGCAGATGCAGGTGAATCTGAGTTCGAGGACATCCAGGTCTACAGAGTAAATTCCAGGACAGCTAGGACTACACACAGAAACGCTGTCTCAAAAAACGGAAGGAGCCGGGCGGTGGTGGCTCACGCCTTCAATCCTAGCACTTGGGAGGCAGAGGCAGGCGGATCTCTGTGAGTTCGAGACCAGCCTGGTCTACAAGAGCTAGTTCCAGGACAGCCTCCAAGGTCACAGAGAAAACCTGTCTCGAAAAACCAAAAAAAAAAAAAAACAGAAGGAAAGAAAGAAGGGAGGGAGGGGAGAGGGAGGGAGGGAGAAGGAGGAAGGAAGGAAGGAAGGAAGGAAGGAAGGAAGGAAGGAAGGAAGGAAAGAAGGTGAAATTCTGGAGATTTATTTGGCATGCATGGTAGCATACAATATAACACCAACCCTCAGGAAGTGGAGCAAGGAAGATCACCTGGGCAAGGAGAAAGCACTTGTCTGAAACAAAATGAAAACCCACATATAATTTGTCTTTAAATACTTTAAAAATCTGTTTCTCCAGTAAGCTAGGAAAGGCTGTGGCTAGGAAGATAGGTCAGTGGGTAACAGTGATCGCTGTGTAAGCCTGAGGATTGGGCATGGTGGGTCTCGCTTGGAATCCCAGCACTGGGAAGGTGGCAGCAAAGGGATTCCCTTTTGACACCCTCCACCTCCCAGCCATGCATCCTCCCCTGCTAGGCTAGGTGAGCCTCATGCTCCAAGAGAGACTCTTGATTCAAAAAAATATGATGGTTGGCTCCTGAGGATGACACCTGGGATGGACCTGGCGCACACACACAAAGTAAGGCTACTAAATCATACCCAATATCATTCCTACTGCATTATCTTTCAATCAAAGAGAGCCTCCTAGTTTCTTGAGAAGTTCATTGCAAGCAAAGACACCTCCTAAGCATTCTGTGTTATGACCCATAAACTCAGCTGATCCCTGTTTGTACATGTAGCCTGAACACCCAGCTAGAATAGCATTTGGCAGATGGCAGAAGACAGCCCCCAGGAATTCTTTCCTTCCTGTTCATCAATGCTAGTCTTCACATCGATAGGGAGAGCTTACCCCCCACCCCAGCAGGCCTCATTTAGATGAGCCTTAACCAGACTCCACCATAATGACATGAGGAAGCTTTTTTTTTGTTTCCTATCTTGAACTTCAAATCTAACACAAGAGGACTAACAGTTGACACCTCCTATTCCTGCAATACTCCTCCTTGGAGCACAAGCCATCACCACACTTACAGGTTCATACAGGGAAAAGCAGGCTTTGAGCTCTATGTGACCTCTAAGTCTAGCCTCAGCCTCATCCTCTCCGTCTGTGCCTCCTACATGTACGGAATACTAGTATGTGTCAAACCAGCCGTGTTCACCTTCTTATGCTATTTTGCTTACTAGCTCTTTAAGTAAAACAAAATGTCTTAAAATTATTTATCCCCACTTAATCTTGGGACTGGCAGGAAAAGAATATATTTATCCTATTAAACTAGACACCAATTTATTTCTTAGTGTATCTTTTTATTCCCCCATACAGTCCTAAATACCCATGTGGCCTGGCTCCTCGCCTTCATTTTCATTTTGCAGCTCAGGCCCTCTTCCAGTCCTTATCTTTCCTGAGGCTTTATACTTTTATTGGCACATAGACTTTTTCAAGCAAACTACTGCTTTCTTCTTACCTATCTCCTTTTAGAAGTTAATCAGTTTACACTACTTTTCATAAGTATCCTAGGACAAGCTTTAAGTCTAAATCATGTGTGAATGGTCTACTTGAAATTAGCAGTAGCATTAATAGCAATTCATTGTAGGCAAAACACTACATTAATGTGGTATTAAGTAAATTCATGACAGCATTCCATCCCATGCTGACATTCAACAAATTTTACATTAAATTCTTTAAACTGAAGCTCACACCTTTAATTCCTGTACTCAGGAGACAGAGGCAGGCAGATCTCTGTGAATTCAAGGCCAGCCTGGTCTACATAGACAGTTGCAGTACAGCCAAGGCTACACAGAGAAACCCTGTCTGAAAAACAAAAAAAAAAAACCAAAACCTGTACCAAAGTTGCCATTAGCAACTGAGGAGAAACACTAAGAATGTGAAGTTTGACTAAAAGAACAACCCTTCTGCTTTGTACTATGCATCAATTTCTTGATAATGTGCACTCAAAACAAAAACAAAACAAATTATCTTAAATTGAGTCTGAACAGGCAGACATATAACAGTAGGGTGAATGGCACCAAGGGAAAGTTGAGACTTACTCAGATTCATAATAAGGCTGTGGCTGAGCTCAAAGAGGACAGTTAATCTCTGTTCTCTGCTCCTCTTATTGAGGTGTCACTTCTTAGCAACTTCTTCCAGTTGGCCTTTCCTCAGAAAGCAACCGCAACAGCAAGGTCAAAAAGAAAGTAACTAAAATTAAAGAAAATGTCGGCTTCTCCCGGTGACTGACTCAACATTTAATAATGTGTGGTGCCCTCAAAGCTTTGAGCTATATTACTTAGCCATCTCCAAGTGCTCTTGACCAATAAGGAGGCCATTCTCAATACCTAACTCACTGGCACACAGCAGACGTGAAGGAGCTCAGAACGTTACTAGGCTGAGACTTACAGGATGATCTCATAATGTCCCTTTATGATCTCCAGGTCGCATTATTCCATACATTATTCCATAATTCTGACTGTCAAATTTGTACTGAGAACCCAACTCTCCAAACTAGAAAACAAAACTGAGCACTTTTGTGATTTATACATTAAAACTGGCTGAAGAAATAAAAGCAACTTTGATTTGCTTCCATTCCCTCCCCCCTAAATTTAAAAGTCTCTTTGCTGATTTGCTTGCTTGTTCATAAACAGTCTCATGTAGCCCAGGCTGCCTTAACTTGCTGGTCTTAAACTCCAGATCCTTCTGCCTTCATCTCTCAAATACTAGGATTACAGACATAGTACCACCACACTCAGCTTGTTTGTTTATGGTCTTTTCAAACAGGGTCTAGTAGTCCAAACTTGCCTTAAATTCTTAAATTCATGGCAATACTCCTGCCTCAGTGTCTCTCTCTCTCTCTCTCTCTCTCTCTCTCTCTCTGTGTGTGTGTGTGTGTGTTTTTTTTTTTTTTTTTTTTTTTTTTTTTTTTTTGAGGCAGGATCTCACTATGTAGCCCTGGCTGTCCTAGAACTCACTCTGTAGATCAGGCTGGCCTTTGAACTGCGATCCACCTGCCTCTGCCTCTGCCTCTGCCTCCCAAATGATGGGATTAAAGACATGGGCCACCTCAACCGACCTGCTGGATTATAAAGTATAAACTACCATGCCAGGCCAAGAGGGTATCTTAATTTTTGAGAATGTCAACACAAGACAGAAATTCAAGAAATATCTTTAGGCTTAACAGAATTTTGCTAATGACAATCCTTAGGTGTTTTTGAAGGTACTAATAAAAAAAATTTAATGTATTTATTCATTTACTTTAATTGTATGGATGTTTTGTCTGCATGTATGTCTGTGCACCACTTGTGTGCCTGTTGTCTGCTTAGAGAGGTCAGGAGGGTGGTAGATCCCCTGGGACTAGAGTTACAAACCACTGTGAGCCACCATGTGGTGCTGGGAATCAAACCTTCATCCTCTGGGAGAGCAGCAATGCTCTTAACTGCTGAGCCATCTCTTCAGCCCCCAAAATAAAAACTTAAATTTGACCAGCTTCTATAAATATGAATGGGGCAATTTAAAACCTAATTTTAACTGAGTCAGTGTCTATGTTTAATTTGTTACGGCATTTTAGGCAAAGATGAAAAACAACTATTCAACAAAGAATGCTATTTGGAAGGATGAGTTACAATTACTTCTGAAAAACCAGGATGTGATTGAAAAAAATAATACCAAAGTCCCTAAGACCACCTGTCAAGCTAAAAAAAAAACAAAAACAAAAACAAAAAAACAAAAAAAAAAAAAACTATGCATCCCATGGTCTTTAGATGTAACCAGAGGGCTGGTTACACCTAGGATATACAAGGAGCATCAGATTAAAAGCATCAAATATCAACCTAAACGAGGTTGCTAAATACAAGCACATCAAAGGAAAAGCCCATACAAAGTTAAAGAAACAGGGCTTAAGGGGTTGAAACACACTCTCAAAACGCAATACCCACACTGTGCTTCAAACTCAAACTCATGGGTAACCACTAACCCTGGCTTATTTCCTATCTCCTTCCTTATACTCTTTTGAATTCCTAACAGCTCTTATCACTTCTCCAAGGTCTTTCTTCTCCCAGAAAGTGGCCTCCACATCTTACTACCTCACCACTTAAGACCTAAGTTTTGTTTTGCTTTCTCCTCTTGGTTTTTAAATTTGTCCCCATTTACCTGTACCTACAGTTCTTTCATTACCTTGCCCTTACTACAAATAATTCTGCCTCCCCTACAAAGCAGAGCATTTATCTCCTTTTTGGTATTTGTAATTCTGGCTCACAGTCAACACTGCCTTTCTCTCCCAGGCACTGTCACCATACCCCTAGGTCTGAGCCCTTATCTTCCTAAATAAGGCCTCTCTCTTCTCTTCCAGAGTTTGGCAACATTAGTTTGGCCAACTGGGATTCCACCCTTATCGCTTAGCCAAAGGCCATCCCCCCAGCCCATTCTACAAAACTACCTGCCTGGGCTTTCCCTCCTTCGCCGTTAAACCCATCAGTACCCAGCAGTTTTCCCCGGCCCCCCTGTGTCTGTCTTGCCATTATCCTGAGCTCCCCACTATTCCCCACTCCTGGGTGCACCTCCTCTCCCAGGCCTTACCAGTAACCCTGACACCGGGAAGGCCCCTGCCAGCGTCCACAGGCGTCTCTCCAGCCTGGTTCCTCCGCTCTTCAGTAACTGTCCCCACGCCCCTTTCCCTCCAGGGCCCCGCGCGCCGCCAGGAGCCCCCACCTCGAATGAGCTCCCACTGTCACTTGGCCTCTCTTCCACAAGATGGCGGAGCTGCTGCCCCCACCCCGGGGTCCCCTCTGCACCCTGCACCCTCCCCCGAGCTCCGGTCCCGTCCCTCCCTCCGCCTCGCCACCGGCCTTGGCCGCGGGTCCCACCGCCCCCTCCCGCGGGGAGCGGGAGACCCGGGCCTGAGCTCGGCGTCGCGCCAACGCCACCGCCTCCACCATTCCCCAGCCCGCACCAGCTCCTCACCATAAACTTGAGCGCTTTCTCCTGCAGCACCGCCTCTGCCGGGTCCATAATCGGCCGGGCTAGTGGGTCTGCTCTCCGCCGGGGACGCCCCTTTCGTGCCAGGCCGCAGCCAACGCAGCCCGGATCCCGCCTCCTCTTCCTTCCCCCGCCCTCTCTTACCTCCTGGCACGGACGGGGGGCGGGGTGCTGAGACGGACCCGCGGCTCGGCGCCTGCGCGCCCCGCTTCCTCACGGGACTTGTAGTTCTGGAGGCTCGTGCTGCAGAAGGCGAAAACACGCGGCGGACAGCAACTCCCGCGGGTCACTGCGTAGAGTCGCGGCTGTGTGCCAGCCAAAGCTAGAGCACTAGGGAGCCAGGCGGGGAAGGCGGCTGACGGGAATTGTAGTTTCCAGCCTTTATGAAGGCGAAGCCAGAGTGTCGCCGTGGTTACCGAACGACGCCAGTGGCTGCTTGCCTGGCATTTGATAGCAAGATGGCGACTAGTGCTTCGTCTGTATTCCAAACACGGGGCAAACAGAGAACTCAGGGTCCTTGGACCTCCCTAACTGTGATTTTAGGGAACTGGACCCCAAGTTTCGTGCATCGGGCGTCTGCGGAAGGACTGAGAACTGGGGAGTCTGAGCCCAGAGTGCATGTGGAAACAGCCTAAACACCAACGCAAGAATTCCAAGTCCTCTCATTTCTGAAGAGGCTTTTCTCCCCCAGAGCAAGTCAGGGGCAGACAGAACTCGGTCCAGGAAATTCCTGAGTTTGGCACTCAGAAAGTATAGGCCGCCATTGCTGACCTGAGATCTGAGTCCTGTGTTGAGTCGATGAAATATAAATGGCGAGTGAAGCCTGTAAGTATCTTTGGCCTCAAAGATGGGCTGGGGAGATGGCGCATTGGGTAAGAGTGATTGCCCTGAAAGGACAAAGACGTAAGTTCAAGTCCCCAGCACCCACATAAAAAGCTGGGTATGGGGGCTCAGTGGTTAAGAGCACTTGCTACTCTTGCAGAGAACCTGGGTTCAGTTCCCAGCACTCACATGACGGCTCACAACCACCAGGAACTTCGGTTCCCTCCCTACCCTTTAAGAAAGAAAAGGACAAAATGGGCTTATTTTGGAAATTGAGTGTACCTCTGAGGGGGGAAAAAAAGAATCATTAGGCTTGGTCTAAAAGCCAGATTCTGATAAAACTGTACAAGATATTTGAGTTTTTAAAATAAAAGAATTAGGAAAATGCCTTTTTACTTATGGAAACAAAAGGAAGCCAGTGAGCTAACCATCCCAGACCTCCTGAGGAGGCAAAAGGAGGCAAATTTGAAGTCAGCCTGGTCTACATAGTAAGTTCTAGGACAGCCAAAGCTAGACCTGTGTCAAGCAAAAAGTGAAAGTATCTATCTATATCTATATCTATATCTATATCCTAGGACAGCCAAAGCTAGACCTGTGTCAAGCAAAAAGTGAAAGTATCTACATATCTATATCTATATCTATATCTATATCTATCTATATATATATATATTTTTTTCTGCAAAGGACCTTCTAGGACCTCTCAAATACTAACCGAGTATTTTATCACTCAGCTACATCTCCAACTCCTCCATTATAAACTGTTTTATGTTTTCTTTCAACAAATGGTGAGCACACAGCCATGCAAACGTGGCAGAGGAAGGTGATTCCGGTCAGGTATGGTGGCCCATGACTCCAATCCCAGCACTCTGGAGACAGAGGCAAGAGGATCACTGTGAATTTGAGGCCAGCCAAGGCTACCAAATAAGAATCTGTCTTTTTGGGCTGGAGAGCTGTTACGTTCTGAGTTCAATTCCCAGCACCCACATCGTGGCTCACAACCATCCATAATGAGATCTGGTGCCCTCTTCTGTCATGCAGGGGTATGTGCAAACAGAATACTGTATATATAATAAATACATCTTTAAAAAAAAAATCTGTCTTTTTAAAAGTAGTAACATTACAGGGCAGTGGTGGCACATGCCTTTAATCCCAGCACACAGGAGCCAGAGGCAAGCAAATCTCTGAGTTCGAGACCAGCCTGATCTATCTATCTTGAAAGAGAGAGGGCTGGAGAGATGGCTCAGTGGTTAAGAGCACTAACTATCCTTCCAGAGAACCTTGATTTGATTCCCAGCACCCACAAGGCAACTGTCTGTAACTCCAAAATCTGACATCCTCACACAGACATACATTCAGGCAAAATGCCAATGTACACAAAAGAAGAATAAATAAATTATTTAAAAGAGAGAGAGAGAGAGAGAAGTAGTAACATCAGCAGCAGTTGCTGCCACCATCACTTTATTAGATTTTATGCCAGGCACTAGAAATGTTACATTCATAATTTCTAATGCAGGCATTGTGACACACACTAACAGCCTTCTTTGTCCAGCCAGATAGAGGTTTAACTTAGAGGCTCCACTTGCTAAAGCTCTCATGTGCATATGGACCCAAAGGAAACTGTCAGGGGCTGGCCACAGAAAGGCTCATCTTCATTACAATTGGCTACTTGCACTTAGGTTTGGAGGGGAAGTGCACCCTTTTAATCCCAGCACCCCAGAGGCAGAGGCAGGAGGATGAGGAGCAGCCTGAACTACATGGCATTGTCTCAAAAGCAAACAAAACCAAAAACCACCTCTCATGGTTAAACTGAGAAATTCAAATTAAGAACCTTTAGATGAACCAGCCTGCCTCCATCTTAGGCTTAAAAGCCATTTTATAGAAAAGATGAACTAGGTTCATTCATTCATTAAAACTAGGTTTAATTCACTGCCTCTTCCAGGAAAAGGCAGCCATGTCTTTGTTTCAAAGAGTTGCTAGGACCATCTTGTTTGTTTCAAAAGGTTATTATAATCACCTGTTGTTATAACTACCTTGTTATGTTCTGCTTCTGTAACCCTACCTATTTGCCTGCCAAACCTGCTCATTTGGAAGATCCCTACCCCTGAGCTATAAAAACTTTATATTTCCCAAGTGCAATGCTGACCTGAAACCTCGCCTTAGGTGGAGACAGCCCATGTACAGGAATAAAAAAGCTTGCTTTAATTAATTTGGCCATACTGATTTGGGTGGTTTTTCCCTCACATCTAATTCTTAGTATGTGTCCATCCCTAAATTCACTTCCTCCAACTGGAGAAAAGAACAAGAGATCTATTTCTAGTTCATTCTTTATTGGCTAATGGGTTTTAATTAGTCAAACATTCTGATCCTCTTTCTTTTTCTTTTTTCTTTTCTTTTTGTTTGTTTTTTGTTTTGGTTTGGTTTTTTGGAGACAGGGTTTCTCTGTGTAACAGCCCTGGCTGTCCTGGAATTCACTCTATAGATCAGGTTGGCCTCCAACTCAGAGATCTGCCTGCCTCTGTCTCCCAAGTGCTGGGATTAAAGGCGTGCGCCACCACTGCCTCCTGGCTCCCATCCTCTTTCAAAGAGTTTTAATTATCATCATCATCATCATCATCATCATCAGACAGCCTCTTTCAAAGAGTTTTAATTATCATCATCATCATCATCATCATCATCATCATCATCATCATCAGACAAACTGCAGAGCTTAAATCTCTGGTTGTCATTCAACCCAATATGGCTTTTGTAATCAAGGGTGAAGGAAATCCACCTAACCACTCCATAGGCAGAAAGAAAGGGTTATTGAGGATCAAACTGCCAAGGCTGAAGGCAAGCTTGGAGGCTAGGGGTGGGGACAGAAGCAAGATAATTTTTAGATGACACCCAGCAGAGTGGATGGGTCTTTGAGTTGATACAAGCTGTTCCGATTGACCTAGAATTAGATGCTCTCACCTGAGGTAAAGGGAGATTCCTAGTATACAAAAACAGCATTTTTATTCTTGAGACAGGATTTCACTCTGTAGCCCAGACTAACATGGAACTTGCTATAAAATGCAGGCAGACCTCAAACTCAAAGCAGTCCTCTGGGTCCAGCTTCCCAAAAGCTGAGCTTCCAGACACAAGCCTTCATCCGAGGTAGGAACTGAGCGTTAGGTAAGTGTTACGGAACTTGCTATAAAATGCAGGCAGACCTCAAACTCAAAGCAGTCCTCTGTGTCCAGCTTCCCAAAAGCTGAGCTTCCAGACACAAGCCTTCATCCAAGGTAGGAACTCAGCGTTAGGTAAGTGTTATTTATTGGAGCAGTCAGTGGTACAAGGTACAGGAAGCAGTATGTAATGTAGGTGTATTTGTGCACCTACCAGGCAAACTGTAGAATGAAGTCAGTGTCTGGATCGTGAGGGAATGGGGAAGTTAGCGAATAGGAGAGGCCAGAGAAGGCCTGCCTAATGGGGAAGGAGAGCATCACACAAGAGAGAAAGGCACTACAGACAACAGCATAAACGCAGCCACACATTCTGGCTTTCTTCAGGCAGGAGTGATGAGGACCTAGCACATAGTAGCACACCAACAACTCGGGTGATCTCATGTCCTTTTAAGACAACCAGAGATTTAAGCTCTGCAGAATGGTAATCAGGAACAGAACAGCTTCCTGCAAGCCAAGCTTTCTCCCACACACATGCCTTTTCCTGTGTAGAAAGGCATGGCATCACTCTCTTAAAACTGTCACTCTCATTCAGAGAAAGTGACCAAGGTTCAATAACACGGGCTCGGGGATTTTGTCATTTTCTGGCACAGATATCAATGGCGTCATTATGATCGTGCCTTTTGGAATGAGGCAGTTTCTGAATTTAATGTCATAGGTCACTTCATGGGATAGGGATGTGCCCAACAATGACCTTGAACTTCTACCTTCCAAGTATTGAGATTACAGATACTATGCCCTTTCATGAACCCAGGGCTTCATGCGTGCTAAGCAAGGACTCTACCAGCAGAGCCACATCCTCAGCCCTTCTGCTGTGTTGTTTTGTTTTGCTGTTTGTATGTGTTCATTTTGGTGCTTGTATGTGTGCATACATGTGTGAGGAAACAAGAGACTAATTATCTAGTGTGAATCCTCGGGCATTGTCTATCTTGATTTGTGACACAGGAGCTCTCCCTGGCTTGGAGTAGGCTGGGCTGGCTAGCCAGCAAGCCCCAGGGATCTCTCAGTCTCCACTTCCCCAGCACTGGGAATATTGACATGGACACCATGCCTGGCTTTTTCATATGAGTGCTAGGGCTCAAGTGCAGGTCTGCCCAGCAAGCATTTTACTAACTGAGCTGCCTCCCCTTTTTTATATATATACATGAGGTGTAGCACAAATAATAAAAACCTAGAGACAGATATTGGGTTCAAGCTGAAGATCAGAGAAGCAAAGCAGCCAGCCACCAGAGAGCTCTCACGTCTACCAATGCTCAGACTGAAGGGTCAATCCACCAAACCTCAGAGTGCATCTCCAGACTGCACTGATCCTCAACAAATCTCAGAGTGCTCCTGAGACTGCACTGAGCTCCTTATGTTCTCTCTAGTGCTGGGATCGAAGGTGTGAGCTCTGTTTCTCTTTTAGACTGATTTACTCTCATGTAGCCCAGGGTAGCCTTGAACTCACAGAGATCCATCTATCTCTGTCTCCTGAGTCCTGGGATTAAAGGTGTGTGCTACCACTGTCCAGCTTCTATGGTTGTGGCTAGTTTTCCATTCTGATCTCCAGGAAAGCTTTATTATAACATAAACAATATATCACCACAATCTGGTGTGTATACAACCATGGCGGGGGGCACACAAGTGTGTGAGTGTCCAGAAAGCAACATCAAGTGGAGTCTTCCTCCAGTAGCTCTTCGTTGAGGCAGGGTCTCTTGCTGAACCAGGAGTTCAATGGTTTTGTCTAGCTACCCAGCTTATCCTGGGAATTCCCTATTTCCCTTATCAAACATTAGAATTACATTACAGGTAATACTCCATGCAGACCAGCCTCTATTTTCTTACATTCCTTTTTAATGTAAGTTCAGGGGTCTGAACTCAGATCCTCATAATTTCAGAGCAAGTGCTTTACCTTCTGAGCCATCCCCCCCATTTCTTTATTGTTGTTGTATTGGGTGTTTCTGTGTAGCCCAAGCTGGCCTGGAACTCAGGCAACCCTCCTGTCTCAGCCTCCTATGTGCTGGGATTACAGACATGCGTCATTATGCCCCTGCCTGAGTGTTAAAATGATAGCCTCCATATCCTCTGTGCAGGGGCTCCGGTGTCCGCCAGCCACACAGTCATTGCTGCTGTGACATATGGGGCTTTCCATTCCCACCACTCTATTCTACAGCACTTGGCATTAACCCACCCTCTACTCTTTTGCCAGTGTCTAGACAACCTCCAACCAGCAACTCTTCTTTAACTGAATTAATCTGCTCTCCTATCTTCCATCCCAGTAGCTTCTTCATGGCGTTTAACGCATAGCAGCAGAGCCAGAAATATTTCACAAGATGTCTGTGCTCTTTTCTTCTCCACCCCTTTACTATAGCAACTGAGTTTCTGACCCTGATTATGCATAAAAGTAATTTGAGGAACTTTATCAAAAATATCAATGCCTAGTCAGGAGTGATGCCTCCCACATGTAATCCAAGAAAGCGCTCAGGAAACTAAGGCAAGGGGAGTGCTGCCAGCTGAGGGCCAGTGTGGGCATTTAGATGCCCAAGGCCTCCTTGCTGACCTCTGGCTCTCCAGTGTACTCCTCCATGCCCAACCTGCCTTTCAAACACTAAAATCCCCCTTTTTTTCTCCCTAAAATATGCCCCTCTCTTTTGCAGGGACAGCTGATCTGAGATCAAAGCTGACTGGAAATAGAAATTAACTAATAAAAACCATCCTCTATCTTGGCAGAGTGGTGCACGTCTGCGATCCTAGCTACTCCACGAAGGCTGAATCAGGATGACGACAGGTTCAAAGCCAGACCAGCCAAGTTAGTATGACGGGATGTAGCCCAGCATGCATAAGGACCTAAATTCAATCTTCAATGCTGAGACCACAACAAAACAAATACCCAAGGATTCCATGATAGCCTTAATTCTTGGGTCAGGAGTCAGAACTTGGGAAACTTTTTTTGTTTTGTTTTGTATTTGATTTGGCAGGAATGATAGTGACTTAGTTGAGAGCTAAAAAGAAGACATTTTTTCCCTTCCCTTCCTAATTCTCGTAGATATATAAAAGTGAATGTCAATGACACACGACTTTAATCCAGGTGAATCTCTGAGTTTGAGGCCAGCCTGGTCTACAGAGCTAGTTCCAGGACAGCCAGGGCTACACAGAGAAACCCTGTCTCAAAAAGAAGGAAAAAAACAAACAAACAAAACAAAAACAAAAATGCTGATTTCATCTGTACTTACTCAAAAGAAGACATTATTCCCATTGAACTGTGATCCAGAGAGGTTCCTTCAGTGGGTGCTCCCATTATCACAGACCACAAAGCCACCCTTGTCTGACTAGAAGAGCCAGATCCCTGCAGAGCCACTCTGTGGGGTTCAGATGGGTGACATAAAGATAGGGCCACCAGAAAGAATAACAGACAACATTTGATGGTGTAGTCTTGGAACAAAATCAAGGCCAGCATGACTTTCTGGGAAGAATGTGTGGCCCTAGACCAGACTAGAGGACAGCAGTAGGGCTCTTATAATAAACCATTATTCAGCTGGCACAAGCTGGTCAGGTGAGCCAGCTAACAGCCTTTCTATGTGGGGTCTGTGCTCACACTTCATGGACTATAAATATCTTGCCTTCCACCCCAGCTCACAGGCCAAGTTCAGACATCCATGCTTTATCCTGGGGGCTGTGGGAAAGTACTGGGAAATGTTAAGCAGGGCTGCAGCACGGTCAGATTTGTATTTTCAGGAAATCACTCAGAGCCCAGGGTGGAGAATAGATTAGAAAGGAGCACAGCTGCAGGCTGGGGAAAGGATTATGAGTTTGCAGAAATCTTCCTGGGAGAGATGGTGGCAGCCCGAACGAGGGAGGCGGTGAGAACCAAAAGGAGTAGATGGATTCCAGAGACATTTCAGAGAAAGAATCAGTGGGACTGGGTGATTGATTACATATGTCACGGACGATGTCAAAGGGATGTGTCAAAGATGACTTCTAGGTACCGGGCTCAGGAAACAGGATGAATGAGGGGTGCCACTTTTTGAGACAGGGAGCACAATAGAAGGAGCAGGTGGTAGGAGGATAATCTGTTCTTTTCTGGACAAATTGCTTCAAGGTGCCTGTGAGGCTTCTGTGAGGGTGAGGACTCAGGCGCTGGGGAGGTCCTTAGCTGTTTGGAACCGAAACAAGAGAAAGGTTCCCTGCCACAGACGGGGGTCTCACGTATTGGTGGCAACTGAAAGGGAGAAAGCACCCAGAGAGAGAGCACAGCAGGTGAGATGAAGAGCAGGATGGAGTCCAGGAGAACCGTACTTTCTCAGGACAAGCAGAGGAAGACAGAAGAGAGAACACTGACGGAAGATCTGGGCAGGGGCCAGGTGCCCTGAGGCAGTGCGCTGAGGAGGGAGGGAAGGAAATGGAGAGCGTTCAGTCTCTTCTTACAGAATCTGTGGCTCAAAGGCCAGAAAACCTAGCAGTGACTAGAGGTAGAAGTTGAGTGGAGAATCCTCGGGAAAATATTCTTTGGTTTGAAAAACGAAAGACTTTAGCGCAGAGGAATTTAAAAAGGCATGACAGAGACAGGACACAAAAAAATTAAAAAAAAAAAAGGCATGACAAGTAAATAAAATGAATGAAGCCCGATTAGATCCTGGACTAACATACCCGTTTATTCATATGTATGTGTGCACCTATGTTCAAGGGAGTTCATACATGTGCGCGCGCGCGTGTGTGTGTGTGTGCGCGCACACACACACACACACACACACACACACACACAAGTGCTTAAAACAATAATAAACATTTATCTCATCTGTGTCAGAAATTCAAAGCCAGCTTACCGGAGGGTTATAGTCAATGTTAAATTGGAGCTGGGTCATCCGTAGGCTTGACTGGGCCAGGCCAGCTTTCATAATGGCTCAGTTGATGGTCCTGGTGACACTGTTAGTATCCCAGTGTTAACTTTCTTTCTTTCTTTCTTCCTTTGTCTCCTCTCTCTCTCTCTCTCTCTCTCTCTCTCTCTCTCTCTCTTCCCTTCCCAAGTGCTGGGATTAAAGTTTAAAGACGTGCTACACCGCACCGCTGCCCATCTTCAAGGTCAGTTTTCAATCCAGAGTGCAAACACGTCTCAAAAAACAAATAAGCGAGATTTCCCTAAGCCTTGGGAGTGAACACAGCTCTCCCTCCGCACTCCAGACTCTGTTGCACGCACCAGAACCTAGAGAACTCTGGTTCCTTGATTCTGTGGACCACAGCAGAGCTCAGAAGGGAAAATGGGTCACCTACAATATTCACTGGAGGCATTTCCTGGTCCAACTTGACGACCAAGCTTTCCATTAGAGAAGAGAAACCCAGTTTAAAAGTTCAGGTTCTCCCTGATCAAGGATGCCAGTGGGGGGGCCCCTGCACTCCTGGGAGCCTCTGGAGGTGGACTGGCGTTTTGCTCTGGTGTGTGTGGGGGACTTCGAGAGCCCATCCCACTTGAAGGGATAGTGGGGGGAGAAGGAAGGGGGGTAAGGGGAGGGCGAGGGAGAGTGGACTTACATGTGAAACAAGCCTGTTCCCTAACTTGAAATAATAATAATAATAATAATAATAATAATAATAATAATAAAAAGAGAGAAAAAAAAAGTTCAAGAAACATCTGAGAAGCCAGGATGGACCAGAGTGGGCAGCAGGAAAAACAAAGGGTCTCAGGTCCTTCTCACAGCCGATGGACTGACTCTGATATCAGGATCTTCCTGCTGGAGTGGAAAGTAGTTGACCAGTTAGTGAGTCACCCAGGCAGAAAGATCCACAAGAAGACCAGGGCTCTTTGCCAGCCACTCTATCAGCGCAGCCTGAAGAAGACCTGGCAAAACTGTTTCTGCCCACTTGTGAGTCTGCAGAATCTGCACAAGACTATGTAATGAGAGACCTGGAATAGAAATGGTGTTTTCTGCTGGGCGTTAGTGACACATGCCTTTAATCCCAGCCCTGTGAGTTCGAGACCAGCTTGGTCTACAAGAGCTAGTTCCAGGGCAACCTCCAAAGCCACAGAGAAACCCTTTCTTGAACAACAAAAACAAACAAACAAATAAATAAATAAATAAATAAGTTTTCTCCTCATGTGGAGAGGCCCTGTACAGGATCCTGGGTCACAGACTCCAGGGAAGCCACCTCCCAGAACATCTCTATGATTGAGCTGGTAAACCCCTGATTTGAATGTACCCTCAACTGCCAATGGCACTGCCATCTCCCGTGTACCAGCCTTGAGACTTTGGCATCTCAAGGGAACCCATAACCGATGATACTCAGGGAGGATTCACTGATTTCCAGGTGGGATATTTGGAACCCCAGGTACCCGTTGACACCTATTTCCTGCCTTTTCCCCTGGAGGCACAAGCCTTCAGCAGCTGTGGTCAGCTTCAAACGACAGCCAAGGCCCTCAGTGAAGACAAATAGAGATTCTTGTGTCTCCTCTGCAAACATCAGAATCATGCAGGGCTGTGGGCGTATGCATTTTTCTCTACTGAATAAGAGAAGAAAAGCGTGAAATCAAATAAAGGTCTATAAAGTCAAAAAAAAAAAAAAAAAGGCAGCTGGGTGTGGTGGCCCCTGCCTGGTACCTGTAATCTCAGCACTTGGAAGCCTGTTACAGGAGGATTGTTTTTTGAGTCCAGAGTGGACTACACAATGAGATCCTGTCTCAAAAAGTTGAAAAAAAAAGCTTATTTGATGGCCTTGGCATCTGTGACTACCTGCTTAAGACCTGCACTAAAAGAGAAAGGAGGGGAGAACTAGTTGGGGAGGGGATCGGCAGGAGTGGGAGAAAGGGGATAGGGATAAGAAAAGGTAGCTAGGGGTGAACAGAGTCATAACTCATTGTTTACATGTATGAAATTTTAAAAGTTCACTTTTAAAAATATAGTTTATTTCTATTTTATGTTCATTGGTGTTTTGCCTACTTGCATACCGGTGTGAGAGTGTTGAAACCCCTGGAACTGGAGTTAGAGACAGTTGTGAGCTGCCATGTGGGTGCTGGGAATTAAACCCTGGGTTCTCAGGAAGGAGCGGCCATATGGAAGGATGGCTCTTAACTGCTGAGCCATCTCGATAGCCCTAAAGATTTACTTATTTATTTATGTGTATAGTGTTCTGCCTGCACGTGTTCCTGCATGACAGAAGAGGGCGCCAGACCTCATAAGGGATGGTTGTGAGCCACCATGTGGTCACTGGGAATTGAACTCAGGACCTCTGGAACAGCAGCCAGTGCTCTTAACCTCTGAGCCATCTCTCCAGCCTGTTTTTTTATTTATTTTATTGAGCTATACATTTCCCCCACTCCCCTTCTCTCCTCCCGTCTCCCATTCCACCATGACCCTGTCCCCCATGCTCCTAATTTACTCGGGAGATCTTGTCTTTTCCCCTTCCTAGGTGGATCCATGTCTGTCTGTCTGTCTGTCTGTCTGTCTGTCTGTCTGTCTGTCTGTCTGTCTCTCTCTCTCTCTCTCTCTCTCTCTCTCTCTCTGTCTCTGTCTCTCTCTCTCTCCTCTCTCTGTCTCTCTTTTTTGGTTTGTCGAAGCAGGGTTTCTCTGTGACTTTGGAGGCTGTCCTTGAACTAGCCCTTGTAGACCAGGCTGGTCTCGAACTCACAGAGATTCGCCTGCCTCTGCCTCCCGAGTGCTGGGATTAAAGGCGTGCGCCACCAAAGCCCGGCCCACGTCTCTCTTAAGGTCCTTTTGCATACCTAGGTTCTCTGGGGTTGTAGACTTATGCTAGTTATCATTTGCTTTATGTTTAATATCTGCTTATGAGTGAGTACATATTATATTTGTCTTTCCGGGTCTGGGTTACCTCACTCAGGGTGGTGTTCTCTAGTTCCGTCCACTTGCCTGCAAATCTCAAGATGTCATTTTTTTTTCTACTTCTGAATAGTGTAAATGTACCACATTTTCTCTATCCATTCTTCAGTTGAGGGGCATCTAGCTTGTTTCCAGGTTCTGGTTATTATGAACAACCCAGCCTATTTTTTTAAGGTAAAGAAATAAAAAAAGATAATTCAGTCACATACCTTTCAATTTGATGTCTTGGTAGGAGCATCAATAAGTTCCTTGCCTTGTGAATTTCTGTAGGGCTACAGTTGCCCTCCTTGTTTTCCTGAGACACAGTCTCTCTGTGATTATCCTGGAGCTCATAGATTAGGGGAGGCTGTCTGTGAGGCCAGAAAGCCTCGTGTGTCTGCTCCCCAGTGCTGGGACTGGAAGTGCCACGCCATCATATCTGGCTTTGTACATGGGTGCTGGGGACTTGAACTCAGGCCCCAAGCTTGTACAGCAAGCTCTTTACCTATGACCAAGCCATCTCCCCAGGCCCCTGCAGTGGTGTGGAACCAAACATTACCATTAGCCTAATCCCAGAGCTTCACTGCGGTGATAGTGCCTCTTATTCATTAACAATAGTATCCAAAGGAGAAACCTTTGTTGAACAAACAAAAAGTGCTCACTTCTGTTATAACAACAGTGTATGTGTGTGTATAATTATAGACACCTTCATAACTTTATTTGCTATGCTTTTCCCAGCTTGAGAGATTAACCAGCATTCAGCTGTTTGTGCTGACAAAGCTATCTTTCTACGGATTTCTGTGCCTCAATTTGTTAGACTGTTTGACAAACAGTATTCATCACACTTTAGTCTGCAGACTTAGCTCTGTGTGTGCTAGTTGTTTTCCATTTATCTGGACTATGTCAGACCTCAGCACGACCACTCCTCCATGGTCATGGTTCCCTTTATCTGGCTGCTATCATTTCTCAGACATTTATATCATTGGAAGCTTTTTTTTTTTCCTTTTTTGATCCCCTCTGCCTCTCCAAAGTGCTATTTGAGAAGGAGGTGATCAAGCTATGATTGGTTCTATTAGTATTCAACCCTCATTTTGTTTCTATCACTCTGCAGATGGATGATGGTGTCCATCTGGGCAGCTGGGCAGTGGTGGTGCACACATTTAATCCCAGCGCTCAGGAGGCAGGGACAGGCAGATTTCTGAGTTCAAGGCCAGCCTGGTTTACACAGAGAAACCCTATCTCAACAATAACCAAAACAACAACAGCACCAAAAGAAAACAAACTATTCTTTCAAGGAGTCTTTTATTTTCTAAAACAGCAGTTGGTTCTCAACCTGTGGGTTGAAACCTCTTTGTCAAACCTCTATCTCCAAAAATGTTTATATTACGATTTCCAAGAGTAGGAAAACCACAGCACATGCCTTTAATCCCAGCACTCAGGAGGCAGAGGCAGACAGATGTGTCTGAGTTCAAGGCCAGCCTGGTCTACAGAGCGAGTTCCAGGACAGCTAGGGTTGTTACACAGAGAAACACTGTCTCAACAACAACAACAACAACAAACCCAAAAAACAAAACATAGAAGAGTAGAAACGTTATAGTTATGAAATAGCAAAGAAAACAATTTTATGGCTGGGTCATAACATGAGGAACTGCATTAGAGGGTTACAGCATTAGGAGGGCTGAGAACCACTGCTCTAGAGATAGAACAACATAGAGATACACACTAATGGGACTTTCTGGCAACAGTGGGGCCTATATCCCTCAGAGTGCTGGCACATGCAGACGTGGCCCATTTGCAGATTAAGACCCTAGGGCTGGGAATGTAACTCAGTAGGTAGGCTGCTTGCTAGCATGCATGAGGATGGATTTGGAGGAGGCCCTGGATTTGATCCTTAGGGTTGTGTAAACTGGGAGTGGTAATGATGATGCATGCTTGTAGTTCCAATACTCTGGAGGTGATGGCAATCAAAAGTCAAACTGCATTCTCAGTTGTATGGTGAGTTTGAGGCCAGCCTAGGCTATATGAGACCATGTCTCAAACAAACAATAAATGAATTGTATTTTAAAGATCTGGGCAGGATTTAGGGATGCCATCAAGGAATACTGCTAGCAACTTGCCCAAAGGGTCAGGGGATGGGGGAGAATGATTAGTTACCAAGACTCTAAGCAGCCAGATATAGAAACAAGACACTTTGACAATAGCTGTGACCTGGAGCTCACTCTGGAGACCAGGCTGGCCTCGAACTCATGGAGATCCACCTGCCTCTGCCTCCTGACTGCTGGATTACAGACATGCAGCATCACCGCCTGACCCTCCTGTGTTTTAAACTCATTTTTTTCTTGTTGGTCAAACACAAATGAAAAGCAGATGGCTAGAGAGAGCTTTTGGTGCCATCTATCTGGCTTCAAGGTCCAAAGAGTGGTGGGAAACCATGGAGACTGTGTTCTCCAGGACAAAGGGTGATTTATTTCTATAGGTCCCTGGTTTGAGGGTAGATAAGGTCTGGTAACTAGACAGGGAAGGTCTCAGTAACAGGAGCCAGAAGAAATATAAAACTTTCAACTACAAGGAAGAGAGAGGGAATGAGGGAGACGGAGAGAGAGAGAGAGAGAGAGAGAGAGAGAGAGAGAGAGACCGAGACCTAAGGCCAGCAAAATGGCTCATCAATAAAGACACTCCCCCATCCCCCCCCCACAAGCCTAATGACCTCGAATTCCATCTGAGACCCACTCAGCAGAGGAGAGAAGGGGGAGGGAGGGAGAGAAGGAAGGGCTAAGATATAAGATATCAAAGTACAAATTTGCCTTCCGTTCCCCTTCCCACCTTACTAATGGTTGGTGAGTTATATTGTGGAACTTTTATTTATTTATTGGTGAGACAGTTTCTTTGTGTAGCCTCGGAGCCTGTCCTGGAACTAGTTCTGTAGACCAGGCTGGCATCGAGCTCACAGAGATCCACCTGCCTCTGCCTCCTGAGTGCTGGATTAAAGAAAGGTGTGCGCCACCACCACCTGGAGATGAACTTAGATTAAGATGAAAGAGAAGGCAGCAGATTGTTTCTTGTAAAGGAGGCAGACAGTGAGGGAGCTACTGGTAAAAAGAAAGAGAATCTGAAGGTGGGCTGGGGGGTGAAGAAAGGATACCAAAACCCACAGTCAGAGGAGAAAGAATTCCTCCCCGAGCCCAGGTCTGACCTGCCTCAGAGCTTGCCAGCCTATTCCTCCCACCTAAGCTGCTGGCTTCGCTCTCACAGTGAGTTCCTAAGGAGTAAAGCACCCACTTCATCCCTTCTGGGTTTGTAACTCAAGGCTTATTTTTATTTATTTATTTTTTGGGGGGACGTTTCAAGACAGGGTTTCTCTGTAGTTTTGAAGTCTGTCCTGGAACTAGCTCTTATAGACCAGGCTGGTCTCGAACTCATAGATCTGTCTGCCTCTGCCTCGAGAGTGCTGGAATTAAAGGCGTGTGCCACCACTGCCCCGAGTAACTCAAGGTTTCTAATCATTATCTGCTTATGTTTCACTTGGCCCGAAAGTCACTGTGTGCCCCTCGGTGGTCTTGATTTTGTAGTGATTCTCCTGCCTCAGCCTGCCAAGTACTGGGTTACAGGTGTGAGCTAGCACACCTGGCTCTTGTTCATTTTTGCTTGTTTGTTTAGCTTAGTTTATATTTTAACTTGCTGATTTGGAGTGTGGCTGGGAGGTGCATATGCCTGTGTG